CGTCTGGCAGATACATACTTAGAAAGTCATTATATGTTTGTAATTTGCAATACTTAGTTTTTAATTTATCAATTTTACTACAATTGCACAACTTTAGAAAACAATGAACGCAATGGCTGCACCCCGATAAGTCGGTGGAATAAAAACATTTTCCGCTTTTAAATACAACCGTTACTCGGACCAACGACATAGCCTAGGCAGCCGCGGTGGCCGCAGTAGTAGACTCTTCGGTCTCCTGATCAGTCGCCGTGCGCTGTGCGGGTTCGAGTCCCGTTCCAGGAGAAATTTTTCTCTTGGCTATGGATGTTGTGATTGTCCGTAGGTGGTAGACGGTCTCTGACTGTCGAACGTGGAGGTACCACCCGGCGGATCTCGTAGGCGGAGCCAGAATGTGTGCATGTTCTCTCGCCAGAGTCCGTGTGGCGTCCCCCTTTCCCCTGTATCCCCCTATAGCCCCACGGTGCCCAATGGGTGTTTAGGCCTTAGGCCTTCGTGGTAGTTGGAGTATAAAAATAAAAACTCATTTCGCTTGAACAACTATGCCCCTGAAATCAATAGTCTAGGTGCCAGAATTCTTGTTGCAGAATTCAGAATTCTCCTAATTCGGGACATAAGAATTCGATTTGTTTGAAAACTATACGACCTAATGAAAAATTTGACAGCCGAGTTTGCCCTTTTTCCCTTAAAACTGCATCAGAGACCCCTGTTTTGGAGGAATAGTTCAGATTGACCCTGAAAACTCAAAAAAATTGGCCGTAATTAGTGTGGGTTCATAATAAACTCAGACTTCATATGCAATTGTTAGACTAATAACAACAGTTTATTGGAAGTAAACACTTAGTATTTCTGCCCCGGTTCGAACTACAAAAACTATATCGCTTTCAGGATCAATCACTAGACAGTTGTATCTTCCTTTTCTGAACCACATCAAGCCTGGACATTGTACCCAAGAAGGTGATCCATACGTCGGAAATGCAGAAAGGCCCCTACGTCCTCTGGTAAAAACTAAAAGACATCTCCGCTCTAAGAACAAAGAGATGTCGCCCACCGTCATAGAAAGGACCACGCGTCAATCAGCGGGAATACTAAATATACGTATCTACCGTAGCTATTTAGCAGTGGCGCATTATGCACCAGTTGCATAAATAAACACTGGCTAATCTAAACCTTTTTGCTTTCCATCTCTGTGATTAAGACCAACAGTATACAATGCTTTTTAGAAATCATTAGGACGTGATAGGTCTTGTGCTGGAAACCAACGAATTCGAATAGATTAACGCCTTGTCCTAGGTAGGTTGCGCATGTATGGCGCATGTTATTAATGGAAATCAGTGTAGTTATAGAAAAAATATTGAAGAAACTGAAGAAAGGACGTAATAGAGAACAGACTCATGTTATTTACAAAAACGGGGTAGTTTACGGCGAGATCCATCATCTGTATCTGCAATTGAGTGACGATGAAGCAGCGTTTCATCAGTACAGTAGGATGGAAATAACGTTCGATTACATAGTGGAAAAGGTACATAATATGCCTATCATTCCACAACAAACTTCCAGAATCCTATCTCTATTGAAGAAAGACTTGTGGTAACTTTACGGAAAGTGAATAAAAGAGCATATTTTAATAAAAAACTACTTTATTTATAGAAACATATGTGTATTGTCTGATGCGTTAGTATCCTAGAGATATGAGGTGAACGTCGATGGAGAATTATTTTTAGTCCCGGAAGATGAGGCTGGATAATTAGTGGGTTAAACAGAGATGTCAGGGGAAGCCGGTGAAAAACTGTTGGAATAATATATAGATGAAATTGAACTGGAAGCAACTGTAGAATAATGTGTGTGGTTTGAGGAACAACGAAAATCGACTATGCTGTTTTGCAGTTCTTGTATCAATACGTCCTGAAACATGGTACGAACTTTTAGTTGTTCCAACGGATTCAGTTTTCGATGTTAGGTTTGTAAGGAACAAGGAGCTTTCATCTTCCTCTTGTTCAAGAAGAGCGAGCTTTTTGTTTTCAATTTCCAGCATCTTCACTTCTATGTCATCATTACGCAGCTTTTTTGTTTTTGGACAGGATAGAGTTTTCTTAGAGACAGAGCTCTGTTTTGCTGAAACTGAGTTAGTATTAGCCACTGCTGTTGCTTCGGTCCAGTCCGTTTGTGCCTGAGCACTACCGGACTAGTTCAGTCTCATCGCCTCCGGACTCTTCATATTTCCTTGGTTCACTTTCGAGTGTAGTTTTTTGTTATTTCTGGGAACCATTGGTAGTGGACATATTTCATTCAGTGTTTCTCGAAAGAACAGAATCCTTCAAAAAAGTAGACCGATGAAATATTGCCACTTTCCCGAATATATTGGAGCATCTTCTGGCGACGTACCCAAATTACTTTTGGGGATTTTTATAAATTATTTTATAAATTGGTCTCGTAAATTCCGCCATTTTTTTTTGGCTTCATCCTCTGAAAACAAAGTTAGAATTATATCTACTTTCATGACATGCAACGTAAACAGTATTTTTTATTTCAGGTATCTAGCAACGGAAATTTATTTTGACAGCTGGCATTTACATTTTGAATATCGAAATCATCAATTGCGTGTATTGTTGTGGAGGTTTGCAAAGCCATTTGACAATCACTGTGGCAAGTGCATATGCCTGTACCAACTATTGAAGATTTTGAGAAGTTTGCTAATGAACATATATTTCCAAAAATAGAGCTTTCCTAACCGCGTGGGTAGTGTCGATGCGAAACATATTAAACTTAAGCGTACAGATAAGTCAGGCAGCAAGCATTACAACTACATAGTGCTGATGGCAGTTGTCTATGCGAACTATCGATTTGTAATGATCGATGTAAGCGCATGCGGAAAAGACAGTGTTGCTGGAGAATTTGCGAATTAAGCTATTCACCAAAATATTATAAAAGGTTCTTTAGCTTTACCTAACAATAAACAACTGCCGAATCTCGAACATAAGACTCCATTTGTATTTGTAGGAGAAGAGGCATTTCCCTTGAAGAGGTATTTAATGAGGCTATTTCCAGCAAGGAGAACTCAGACAGATGCAGCTGCATCATATTTTAATGACGATTATCAAGAGGTAGAATGTGCCTTTCATAATAGTGATGCCATATTTTATTTTACTGAAGTGTATTGAAATCACTGTTAACAATGTAGTTCGTATTGTAAAAACGATTTGCCTTTTACAGAATATCATAATAGACATGGAAAAAATTATGGTCCTATAATTTTAGCCAATAGTATTACATCAACGCAACCAACAATGGATCAAAACATAAGAATTTCAAGGTCAAATAATCATTCATATAGAGAAGCAGAAATGGTCCGAAATACTCTTTGTCAATACTTTCCCATGAATAAAATTTTACTTTTAAGCCATATTTAGAATTCGGAAACAACAAAAAAGTCATTACAACTTACTTCAGATTCCCACGTTTTTTTGCAACAGTACCCCATTGCTAATCTACAATTAGTCGATCTTTATAACGAGGATTTGCTTTGTTCCAAAGAACATCTTTTTGTTGCACTCCAGCAATAAGCACCTGAATTTCACCTTGCTAGTCGGACGACAACTGAGGATAAAATGAAGCCGTTTGATTTTTGAAACATTGTTTGTCGCCAAAAGCGTGTACTTTGGCTAATTTTCCTATTATTGCCCACAAAGTGGCAAACGAATACATCGGCTGACATTCTTCTCTGGAGAGGATCTTCAAGTAGCTATTCATACTAGGTGCACTCATCTAGAAAGAAAGACAGAAAGAAATACTATCTGTGTTGCGATGTGTAACGCTCAGTTATTGTTGGTGAACAGGGATAAACTAAATAAGGCAAAGAAGCGAATATAAATGTTTATTAATGGTACACGTTGATCAGTTCTGCCTAATTCGTGACTTTGGAAGGCGAACAATAAGAAACATTCGCTCCATCAAACAGCACCAATGGGATAACTTATATTGGCAATAGTGGGTTACCTTTTTTGAATACGATTCGAGTTACCTATGTTGTTGTCGTGATCCGAGCAGCTTATTGGCTAAAAGCAAATTCCCAGTTGAGCATAAGATGGATATCCCTGCTATTATCATTGTTACCGTAGTTATCCAATAAATTTGATATTCATAGTTTTTTTAGGCGCACTGAGCTTCGTCCGTAGAATCTCGGGGCACTAAAATGCGAAGTAAAATTATTACTTACAGTGTGAAGTACTTTTTTCAAGAACTTTAGTTCCAAAATTAAAGCAGATAAAGTTATACCTTAGTTTAGTTGGATTAAAGTTTCGGTTAGCCCAACAAAAAATTTGGTTCTTCTCCGATATTTTGCATTTTGCAACGTTGTTGGTTGGTGTACAATTCTGTTAACAAACCTTAGATCGGAACTGAGTGCTGAATGAAACAATATGTGAAATGAGATAAATCAAGGTTACCCCACAATTCTCCAGGTACAAGCCTAATGCTGAGGTATATGGTCTTTTGCAACGCCGATGGGTTCAATACTCATCGATAAAAAGATTTGCTCTTTTTAAAATCCACAGAAACAATTTTTAACAAGTGTATTCTACGAATGTATGGAGTCCAAGAAATTTTATATGCTTTCGCAGAAAACTAAGAATCATGTCAACAACTTTCAGACTGGAGGCGTAAGCCTGATCGACTTGTAGCATGAACTTGCATCGTGACTACTGACAACGTAACTTTGGCGAGAAACAAATCGTAGGTTTGCTCCTTCTACCTAGTCCGAATTTGTTGTTGGTGGCAGATAACAGAAAACAAACAAGCGCGTATGGTTTTCAGAAACACTTGGTATGTGCTGTGCAAGTGAAAGTCAGTCGCTTTAAGGCGGATTGATGTCGCCAACCATCATCGAAAAGACCAAGTATTCGTCGTCTCCTATCAGAAGCTCGGTTTCTTCTTTCTTATTGTATATAAAAACTGCCATAATTCAATTGAGTAAAATAACACACAAACTCGTCGGCATGGTTATGATGGAGTTCGCAGTAGTACGAAGTATACCTCGGTCACTTGCCGATATGGAGTATAGTGGAAGATACTGTATCTACAGTACCTTGGCCCTGGGAGGGGGGTCGACCATGGTAGAGTTATTTGATCTCTCCCAGACTGTAACCTTCGTTTTCGAAAGTCTCGTCCCTGACAATTACACACAAAGCAGGTTTGTCTGAGCCTCCGCTTTCTATTGTATACCCGTTGTCACACAAAATACAGTTTACGAGTTAATGGCCGCGACATAGAGAATAGCAGGCCCTGGATGGCAATTTTCAAGCCACCACGGTCTGAAGGGTCGTATATTTTTAATTCAAGCATGCGACGTCCTCTATTTACTGCACAAAAGTACCGAATGCAACATTAATACGAGCAGGATTAGGCGGCATTGCGGACGAGTGGCAGAGGACCGCTAGTTTTGTTTCTCTAATTAAAAATGTCACTGTAAAATATTGAAGCACCTGCGCTATGGAGGAGAGTGTGCGTTCAGGGATTAGGTACTCAGACTGGGGTAATTAGAATAATACGTGGAGTCATACTGAAATTTTTCAGAGGCATCTAAGGCCAATTGCCATCGGTATGGAGATTACCATCTTTATTCCGGAAGTTTTTTGCATTCGTTTCTACAATGGTGTTAATAAGAGAATATCGTTTTTTTATCTCAAATATACGTACAGTGTACATATTACCAAAGCGCTCGGTCGACAGTGGATCGCTTCATAGCCTAGGTATGCAATACAATATAATAACAGTTTGAGTCATTGCAAATAAGGTGCTAATAGGAATGGTTGAGAAAGCACAAACATTTATTCTGAGAATAATATACAATAAAACCATATTATACCCATCTGAACTTTTGTACGCTGAAAGAGAAATTCTTGACTACAAAAATCATAAACCGTGAGTTAGATCACTTATTTTAGCACTAACACTTGTCGAATTACAATGCGGTTTGAGGTAAATGTAGCCATGACATTCTTCTATACGAAACTTTAAAGCGCATTGGAATCGAATAAAGAGTGACTGCGCTAGGGCAAGTGTTCCAAAACAAAAGTGGCAGAGATATTTACGTGAACTTTCCTCTTCAATGTGACGTACGAACCAAATCATATATTGTTATTTTATGACATTCTGGTGTTATAAAAGTTCTCTAACCAATTTGTTGGTAGATCGACGTATCTGACCTCTGGGGCTGCGTTGTGCCCCTTTGTCATAAAAACCCTATATGCTTCAGCTTGGAAAAAATCCACTCCGTCAGCCCCAACCCCTGACGGTTTTTCGATTATTGATTCGAACATAGATAGTGTAAACGTTTCTGACTGATACAGATGTGACTCAGGACCTAGAGCAATGTTTCCAAACTAACGAAGGTAGCTTCACGACATCTCCAGTTCCTACCTGCCGTTTAATACCTCTGCAACTACTTTCGTGACATATCGGTTCCCAGGAGCCCCATTTAGCAAAACATAGAAGACGACATTATCAACTTCACGTCCTTGCCATATTGTTAATGTCCTACTGATTAAGCTGAAAATATCAGGCGCGTAGCGTAAATCTTCATCTATATCATCGAGAAGTGATATGGTTTATTTTAACAGTTTCGATAGCCTCCGAAAGACTCCGCTCTATTATTCCAGTCTACACGATTAATGTACAGTGAAGATAAGCTTCCTGCTTCAGTTGCCGACATGTTCACATCTCTTTCTGTACTACGAGGGTCAATTTAAACTAAAATTCCATTATTACAAGACACATTAGCGATTGAGTTTAAAGTATTGTGTGGTATTGTTTTGTGTGTGAATAGCTATGTCTCGTGTTACAATTTGCTTTGAAAGTTCGGCCTTCTACAGGAAAAAAGATCCTTAGAATATATAGCGCTCTGAAATGTCAAAAAACGACGTTTGAGCGGTTTTTATGTTTTTCGTGTTTTTGCCTCTAGCTCCGCCTTCACTTGCTTGATTTTCAAAAACTACAGAACACTTTCGTCCTTCTGTCTCGAGATCGAGGCCCTATGGTTTTTGTGCCGGCGTTCTCAAAGTTTTAAGAGCAATTGTATGGGAAAATCTTTGAATATGTACTGTTAATATGTATGTAAAATTACTGAGCCTATAAATATACGGCAACTAGAGAAATGAGATATACCATCCCCCATTCCCTACAACCCCTAAGCCCGAATTTCAACCCCTATAAATTTTTTCCTGAAAATGTTTTTCATTCCTGGGTTGGGAGTAACCTTATGTGGAATTTCGACGAAATCCGAGTGGTTCAACTTATAGGCGGATCAAGTATTAGCGGACAGACCTACAGACAGACCGACGGAAATGAGTGACATGTTTTTTTCGGAGCGTACAGGGTGGTCAACTAATAATGTGAGGTACTGTTTCTGGGAAGCCTTGCAGTAAAAAAAGTTCTTACTAAAATGGACAAGAGAAAAACATGGAAAATATTTTCATGTTTCTGAAATGCAACTTGAACCTAAAAAAGTGAGGTTTCCGTGAATTCCGATATATTAACCTAACAAAAAATACTTAATCTTAAAAGTCGAGGATAATGTGAGCGTTTTTTGTTTAACAATTTTTGCTGTATCTCCAAAAATAAAGTGGAGGGGGGTATTCAATGTTTCCGTAAAAACACCCTGTATATTAGAAACAGCTGAGCCGATTTCAGCAAACTTGGACTAAATGAAAAGAGCTATTCTTGGGATACAAATTTTATACTATTTGAATTTTTGTTTCACATGTGAATTAAATGTAATGGTATGATCTTTTCTTATGAAGAAGTAGCTAAATGATATCTAAACAAGCTCCCGAAAACCGGACCTTGATACCTTGTTCCTAACCTAAAATTTAGTCTAAAGAAAATTTTATACGGATATCCCTTATATTTTTATTTTTATAAACTTATCTTTCTGGAATTGTTTTTTATTCATCAGAACAAAATCACCCTTTTTGAAAATATTACAAAATATCGCTAAGTTTGTAGTGCTAATAACAAAAGGAATATTTTTTGTTTAGATTGAAATTCACTATGGGTATATGGTGTATGAAAAAGACAATTAATAGATGCAGGCCATGGAATACACCAAAACAGATAATATCTAATCAAAACATAAATAGTCCTCAAATTGTCAATAGTTTCTAATAGTTTCGCGTTAGATTGAGCAATGGTTGTGCTCAACAAATGCATCTTACGAACGATGAAGCTGTTGATATGCTGCAGTTTATTTTGAATGTCTCAGAATACCGAAGTAGCAAAAACAGTTTACGCGATTTGATATCCAAATCGTCGTCTTTGCGATGTGAGAGTTTTTCCCCGATTAGTGGCGAGCTTACGAGCCAATGGTAGTTTTCTGTTAACGTTTTAACGGTGAAGAATTGGAAGAACACAAGGAAATTTTAACTGCGTACGGGGATATACTGAAGGAAATTTTCATGTTAGCACCAGGCCATTATTACCCATTGAGTTGGGCATATCACGAACAACGGTTCAAAATTTAGGGATTCATTTGAATTTAACTTCTTTTTAATTACATTTAGAATGCACCGATATGTCGTTTTGAAACAGGTCTTGAAAGGGGAAGACTTTGATCGGAGGTTGGAGTATTGCCATTGGATGTTAGGTATGATACGCGAAAATAGACAATTTTTATTTCGAATTCTTTGGACCGATGAAGCCACCTTTAATAGTGATGGTAGAGTCAATTTGTACAATATGCATTATTGGTCTGTAGAAAATAGGCATTGGTTTCGTGAAGCTCAGCACCAGGGGCATTGGAGTTTGAATGTGTGGTGTGGCATACTGGGAGGCAGAATTATTGGGCCATATTATTTCGAGCAGTCCCTATATGGATAATTATCGTTGCTATTGGAGGATGTACCACTGGAAGCTCAGCAAAACAGTGAGAGCTTATTAATGCAGTATTTCAACAGCGGTGGATTGGAAGAGGAAGTCTGTTACTATGGCCTTCGCGATCACCAGAATTAACTTGTCTTAATGTTTATTTATGGGACGGATAAAGGACATCGTGTTTCACACTCAACCTACAACCAGAGAAGATATGAAATACCGGATTCGTAAAGCAATACGTAACATCCCGAGAGCCGAAACTGAAGCTAGTTTTGTCTACCCATGAGAGGCTTCAGGAATGCACAGATCGTGATGGTCAGCATTTCGAGCAATTGCGGGGTCGTTAAAAACCTTTTTCTTTAAATCGGTCCGTTTTAGGGTCATAACTTGATAATAAAAAGAAATTCTAGAAAATAAAATAAAAATTTAAAACAGGTTAAGCGCCAAGGACTTTCCACCAAAATACATATGTCCTTGGACCAATGTGATATTTTAACAAATTTTAAAAATTTACGTCTAGTTAACCCCAAATCCTGGATATTTGATTTTTTTTCCGCAAAGATTTAAAAAAAATAAAGCGGACACCGGTGTCCGCCATGGCCCTCCGAAAATGTTTAGAACGAGCGGACACGATACTTCCCAGAGTGGCCGACGATCGAGCCGATCTATCTTTACTTGACGATACAGGTTGTTATTGATTAGTTTTTCGTCGCTTCGAGTGTGATGTGTTGCACCGTTTTACTGAAGTTTTCAGCGTAAAGTGAAACTTTTTGAAATAAAAATGAATGGATGATCAAAGAGGATATTACAGTTAAATCTGGGGAGAAAAAACGACTATGAAAGTAAGCTGCTATTGAAATTTTATTAGGTACCTCAATTGTGAATGTCCATTTTATTTACAGGGAGATCGAACAGAGCGACATTTCCACAAATAATTTTCGGAATGCAGTTGTTGAAAAATTGCTGAAATTCGAAGATGGCTACACTTATGACCGTACATGTCCTGTAAAAGTGAATTTGAGGGCTCACGTATTACTAAAACTCTATTGTAAGGCACGGGAAAATAGACGGTACTGCAAGGGTTGTTACAACGAAAAACAAGATGGACTTATTGAAAAAGTTAAAAAAGTAATCATTTATTGTGCACAGTGCGAAGATAACCCTAGATTCTATCTGGAATGTCTTAACTTAGTACACAAATTTTTACGAAATAAATGTAGATACGTATTTGCAAAACTTTTTTGTTCAATATACTTTGTTTATTAAATGTTTATTTTATCTCCATAGATAAATAAATAAGTGAAATAAATATATAAATATTTATTTGATATTACAATAAGAATATCACCAGATTTATCTGGAAAACATTGCTACATAAAACCTGGTGTCAGCGTTTTATGTTGCAGGACCATGGCGGACATGTTACTACGCCAAACCGCATAAAAGCGTGTCCGCCTGGCCAGGAGGAGATGATAAAAATGTGAAAGCCATGCGGACACCGGTGTCCGCCGTGGCCCAGGAGGCTGATCACAAATCGGGCACCGGTGTCCGCCGTGGCGCTTAACCTGTTAATGGATTTCCGTATGAAATCTTCTTTGACCTAAATTTTAGGATAGCAACAAGATATCGAGATGCGGTTTTCGCGAGCTTGGTTAGACATCAGTTAGCTAATTTTTTATGAAAAAAATCATATCAATGCATTTGATTTCTTTGAGAAAATTAACTTTGTACTTCTGTCTGATGTCGAAAAAAAGCCCTCTAGCAGCCACATGTGTAACTAACCTAAGAATAGCTTTTATCAAGTTGTTATATTCGGATCAGTCGTTTCGAAGATACGGAAGCCTTTGAATACTCCCCACCACTTTTATTTTTAATAATAATAATAATGTTACCTTATACCATATTATGTAAAAAGCTCATGGAAAATTATAAAAAATAAGATCCCGTCTCAAAGCGGAGAAGGCACATTGGTTGTAATTTTCATATCTGATATGCCTTTCCCACCTTGGAGCGGATAAAATAATTTAATGCTTTTGCTACTTATTGTCTACTGTAGCATAAAAAATTAACAAATAATTGCTTTGGAATTGAATCAACATTTGTAACACCTTTAAATATCAATATTAGGATTAAAGAAGATTATGAAATATATCAAAACATCCTACACATAGATCAGGCTGATTTTTGCGTCCAGTGGAGTAGGAGCTAAAAATTAGCCTTCATGATGCAGGTCTTTGGGTCTTGCACCTGTAGAAACTGAAATCTCCACCAATGTCAACATAAAGTGCATCTCATCATCAACTACTCCGGCAACCCTTTAATGCCTGGCAGGGTAGTTCTGATTACCAAAGATGAGCGTTAGCGAATTGTCTTGTGAGAGACGCCCCTCTGTGAACCGACGACCGTGCATCTCGTTAGCGAGATACTTTTCACGCTCTGTGACACGGATCGCTAAGTTCGTGACAAGAACAGGAAGGGTAGCCTCGTTACTACTCGACTGCTTTTCAAAGCCTGCTTTCTGTCATTTGCCGCACTCTCTGACTCAAATTGAGATACTGCAATTTGCAAATTTGGCGAAAAACACACCGTGCTATGTTCGTCCCTGCTAATTACAAAGAAGGCGTGCAACTACAAGGGGATGCCCCGAAACTTCAGATATACTTAAATCGCATAGATGACATAACGTATTATATGTGTGAATGGATAACGTTAATACTGAGCGAATCCGGACTAAGTAGAAGGAGCTAGGATGCGATTTGTTTTGTACCATAATTACATACCTAGTCATTAGTCAGGATGGAAGTGCATACTACAAGTCGATCGGGTTTAATCTGCCAGTTTGACAGCTGCTAACGCTTTACCATGAATTCGTGTTTTTCTGCCGCAATATATAAATGAACGGGGCTCCATATAGTCCCAGCGTTCTAGGCAATTGCCGAAGATGGTGATGGTTTTTATAGATTACAGAAATCAGTTTAAGCTGAATAAACGCACATTTTTTTATCGGCGATTGGTGATATACTGAAACGCCCTCATAAATGGGACCTTGAGTAACGAGGCCTTCGCAATATCGACGCTTAGGATTCCGCAATTACGCGACCGCGTATGGAGCGCAATTGCGTTCGAAAGCCTTCGCGACGCCACCGTGACCATTCGATGCACCTCAATATGAATCTACTGCCTTTTAGATAACCTCGATCAAGGTTCGCGCTCGCTCTGGAGGCTTCTGGAGTTCATCGGTTGAATTTAAATACCCGACCAGATGGCTGAAGCAGTCGATTCAACCAACAACGGAGAATGCGATAGTCCAGTAGACATGAATTCGTGTTTTTCTGCCGCAATATATAAATGAACGGGGCTCCATATAGTCCCAGCGTTCTAGGCAATTGCCGAAGATGGTGATGGTTTTTATAGATTACAGAAATCAGTTTAAGCTGAATAAACGCACATTTTTTTATCGGCGATTGGTGATATACTGAAACGCCCTCATAAATGGGACCTTGAGTAACGAGGCCTTCGCAATATCGACGCTTAGGATTCCGCAATTACGCGACCGCGTATGGAGCGCAATTGCGTTCGAAAGCCTTCGCGACGCCACCGTGACCATTCGATGCACCTCAATATGAATCTACTGCCTTTTAGATAACCTCGATCAAGGTTCGCGCTCGCTCTGGAGGCTTCTGGAGTTCATCGGTTGAATTTAAATACCCGACCAGATGGCTGAAGCAGTCGATTCAACCAACAACGGAGAATGCGATAGTCCAGTAGACATGATTATAAGTTTTTGATAAATTAGTTGCAGGTATTGTAATAACTTAGTGTGAGAGTAATAAATTAGACTTTAAATAGCAGAAACGGTATTTTCGTTACAATATTGTCACGACTGTGACGTGGGAGCTAGTTTGCTCCGGGTTGAGCAGACTCGCAGGTGTGGAGGCTCAAATGATAACACAAAATAAAATAAAATAACACAGTGTATCAACATAACGCCGCGCAAATAAAATTATAATAAACCGAAATAGGTACTTACTTTTTGGCCCAGGTAGGTACAATCTCTCTAAGAGAGATTCGCCCCGAGTGATCTTAGGGTAGGAATAATCCCATGTGTTTTTATAAACCGATAGAACTCCCACAGTCGGCGAATAGTACACCTTTTCAGATTATGCGTTATTTGTCGACGATGTGCATATTTCTCAGCAGATGCGGTTTAGGAGAATCCTATGTGGCGCGTATAAAGGTGAGTGCGCATATAAAAACGGACGCGAATGAGGCAAGCCAAGGACGAACCATTTGCCTAGCATACGGGTTTCTGAATAGTGGATGCACCCGGCCAGGCGTTGTAGGGCATAGATCCATGGAATGCGGCGAGCATCCTTGAATTTAAGTAGCCTTTGAAATATGGCCGATTTAGACTCTGATGGTGAACGCGCTACGTATTTTACAATTTTAAATAGTGTATTAAAAAAGAAAAACAAGAAAAAACCAAAACGATGGTCGTCACAATTATACCTTAACAGAAGACAATTGAATGAAAATAGCACAGGTTTGTTAAAAGATCTCTTGGCCCATCAAACGAGCGGGCTTTTTAAAAATTTTACCAGGATGTCTCAAGAAGACTTATTTTTGATATTAAATTATATTAAATTAAGGATAGAGCGACAAGACACATCCTATAGAAGAGCGATTCAAGCTGAAGAAATACTAGCATTAACTCTTCGGCTCCTTGCTAAAAAGAAGCAATAACAAATTGTCTTTGATAACAATAATCTTTTTTTGTGCACTACCAGTGTTAACAATACCTTAGACCTTAGACTAACTCAAGAACAAAGTTCGTATTCTTGCTCATATACTATGCTCACTAATCATGCTGATCAGTTGTCGTGGAGATGAATGTTGTTATCGTCATAAATATTTTGTCATGTTTATATAAAAGAAAAACTGTAAACGTTCAACAACAAATACGTTGTATTGGAAAATTGGTCTTATATATTTGAATCAGCAGATTGGTCTTAAATATTTGAATCAGCAGATTGGTCCAACACTAGTTACTACAGAGTAGACCGCCTTGACATGAAATGTTTATTTCCATCCAGACTGAGCCCGCACTTTGTTGTATCGCAGTGGTCGCCAACCCGTCGATCGCGAGGTACCGGTAGCTCGCGAAGGCAATTCTGCAGACTCGCAACATATTTTAAAAAGGGGTAAAAATCATAGAAGCTTCCGTAAATTTTGTTAATTCTCATAATAAACTCAAGCAGCGGCAACACTGTGGTGAGCGATCTGTTCGAGATCGATCTCGATTACTTTGATAAATACGCAAGGTGCGGCGATAGTGCGCTCAGTTTAAAACTGAACGGCACAAAGTCCAGTGGTTGGGTGAGAGTTGGCCTGCAATTAAAAACATTATGAGCAGCAGTAAGAAGATGAAGACACACCATTTTCATTCGGAATGGGAAGTACTATATGTCTTTACAGAAGTTAAAGGTAAAAATGTGTTTGTTATGTAATACATCTGTTTCCGTTGCTAAAAAGGGAATATCGAGAGGCACTATAAAACTGAACATTCGAATTTTGAAAAATCATTCCATTATGCTCTGCAACCAGAACGGAAAAACTGAAACAATTAAAAAATTAGACAATGCTTTTAAAAACAATCGAAAAAAGTAAGACATCATACCGGGTGTCCCAGATAATTACACAGAAGAAGAAACCTTATGAAGATGGGGAAATTATAAAGCAGGCGTTTTTAGCAGCTGCAGATTAATTACCTGCTAACTTTAGAAATAAAGACGAGGTAGTGTCTGCTATAAATCTATACAACTTTCTGCTAATACACTGATAGACGGGTAGAAATAATGAGTAATGATATAGTTTTACAGTTAAGAAATGACTTCAATAACTGTGCTTATTTTTTACTGCAGCTGACACCTCTTAGATGGCCGGTTCATCAGGATGATTCTTAGTGATTTTATGATTAAAGAAGGTCTTTTGAAGTTTATTCCACTAAGAGGACAGACTACTGAACAGGACTTGTTTTCTTCTTTTTAAAATATTATTTCTTCTGAGAAAATTCCAATATCCAAAATGGTAAGCTTGACAGCCGATGGCGCTCCAGCTATGGTGGGTCG